ACTAAAGAAGTCTTAATTCACACACATTTACTTTCTCTTCTACTGACAGGTTGCTGAAAACTTCTCAAGAAAGTTCTACAGACTCTGCATACTTCTTCTGCTTCTCCACTTAATTTTTCCAATTCCATTTCAAAATTGAGCTTTGGTTTAAAGATCACATTTGGCATACCCATGGAACAGGATTAGGTTATATTGTTGCATCCATTAGTAGGGGATTAGACTTGATGAGCCAGAACACCTCTTCTGTCTCAAGCTCTAATTCAACCTTTACCTTTATTAGCCTGCCCTAAATTGTCTCTTCCACACTGAACAAAGAGAAGCTCTAATTATTGTCTGTGGACACTCTACTTTTCTGCTATCATTCTTGTGCTATGGTTTTTTGCTAAAACATATCCCATTCAGCCCTTCTCTTCATGACAGCCACATCCTTCTATCCCTTTGTTATTTCTTGTCTAGCCCTATCCATTAATTTGTAAACACCCTAGTAAAACACCTTCCTGCTTCCTCTGTTGTACTTCCCTCTGAATTCTTCCTAAGTAGTGCTTTAATCTGCTAAAGGTATCAATATCACAAACATATTAAAGAATTTCTGGATCCATATTTCTTACCTCTCTTGCTGGTGTCACATTCTCCTTAGATGATATTCCCAAGTCCAACTTCTTCCTCCATTACTTTTCATCCTTGACTTCAACCTACCATGTTTCTGAAAATAATTTTGAATTCTTCTATCAATCTGAAACTCTCACCTCTTTTCAACTTTAGAGGTCTGACTCCCTGTGGAGGAGCAATCACTCAGGAAAAAATTCAATATAGTGAAAATTGAATATATTAAATTTTATTCATCCAGTTCTAAACTCAAAAATCTCTGCAGTCAATTCCACTGTTCCTAATTTATGTTATATTAAAATCTGTTGTCTTAGAACTCAATATCTAAGAAGCTGCCAAATTCTATCAGTTCTTACATCAGTGTTTCCAGAATACATTTTTTTCCCCTAAAACCTGGCATGCAGCTTTCTATACCTGCATCATATTTCATATGAGGTCTGTTCTAGTGCTTCCTTGTCTACCCACTATACTTATTGCTTCACTACTCTTGAGTTAATTTTAAAAAGTTTTCTCTTCCCTGCCTCTTGAAACTCAGAGCTGCTGCTTCTCATTCAAATTTCCATCACTGGATTTTATTTTCCTCTCTATCTACTTCCTGACTCTTACCCTTAAGTCTACATGATACTTCCATATCTGTTTATTTCTGAAATCATATTTTCTAACTCTCACCTTGGTGCTTTTAATTTTCCCACTGTGCTAGAAGCTTGTAAAGTCACCATACAGCCTCTAATCAAATCCCCACTTAAACAATCTCCTTATTTTGAGCTCATTTAAATACACAAAATTAAAATGAGAACAAGTATATCATATCACCTGTAAGTCTACAAGAAACGGCATTCTCCAAAAATCATACTTCTGTAGAGAAAAACTATCCACATATCTTCCAGTCATGATTCCTTTCCATTTCATTATTATTTTTAATATCATTCTTACTAATTAAGAAGCCTTAAAAATGTGAGCTATAACAACATTATCAAGTGTTTATTTGTAAATCGTGTATTTCTCAATTTGTAGATGTAAACTTTGTTTACAATTAAGCACACCTATTTTTTTCTTTATTGATGTGTACCTGAGCCTATAAGTTTCTGTCCACATGTGTAAACTCCTTAAGTTTCTCTACTGTATCATTTTAGCATTCTAGTGAAAAAAACCCTAAAGAAATGGAAAAAAACAGTTTGATTTCTAGAGGAAATAAAAATATGCTTTCAGACAAGGCTGCAACTCCAGTTTCAGTTGCAGGAATTCTATTAACTGTGTAAGAACTAATACTGATGTCTGTAGAATATAAACAGTATAACCACATTATTTTTAGGCTATGGTTTCCTAAGTTGGATTTCACTTTGTTTCCTCTAAAAATAATAATCAAATGGTATTTTCCCACATTACCCGTATATGTACTAAATTCAGTAATCTGACGTGATAATGAATCAAGAGATAATGAAACAAGACACCACTTGTAAAACACAGGAAAGTTTCTCATGAAAATGTCCAGGCTTAGGCACATATGTCAGTACTTCGCAAACCAGATAAAACCATCCTGATTATGGAAGTACAAGCAGCCACTCATCTCATTAATATCCAGAGAATCTAAATATACTATGCTTTTTTTAAAAAAATCAATTCATTTGTATGAAGAAGTCTAAAAAAGAATTTACATGCCCAACTTTTAGCTACTTAAAAAGCTGATCTGAAAGCAGATCTTAACATACTAATGAAGTGTCTGAACTCTGGAATATGATGACAGGTTTGAAAAGCAAAGAGCCATGTAAAGCTGGTCATATTTGCAATCTCCTTTTCCTGTAATCGTGTCTGTATGCCAGACATCAAAGTACAACATTTTCCACTGATACTTCGCAGTTAAGATGTACTTTCACTGATGCCAAGATCTGACTTTGGGTCACAATTACAGCCCATTTTTGCTACACAATTAAACCAAGAAATCGCACTTTAAATTGCAACCTCTAAAAATTGACTAACCTCTCAGTATTGAAGTTGGAATGAGACAATTCAAAAATCCCATGAGTCTGAGCTGAAATTAGTTGTTGGATTTAAACAGCTGGAGGGGGGAAGGGAGACTTATCTGAAGGAAGTATATTGAGAGCAGCAGGACTCCCTTTAGGAGAGAAACAGAGAACAGTTAGTAAAAGGAAGCAGGATAAATAATGTAAGAAGAACAGCGTCTATAAAATAAAACAGGGATAAAAAGAAAGAACAGTAATAAGTCTTAATAGAAAGTGGAACAGAAAAGGCAAAGGGAAGCAAAGGAGTGGAACTGGTGATGATCCAAGAGTTCATGTAGAGTCTTACCTCTAAAACTGTAATTATTTGCCTCTGATTAAAGTGTAAAAGACTGTGAGAGGTATGTTATTACAGAACAAACTGACATGGAGGATTTGGGAGTCTCAAACAAGGCTGGGATGAAGAGTCACTCAAACTAGTAACAGTGAGTTCCTTAAGTGTTCTGACCACAGCTACGTTGACAAGGGTACATACTCTAAAACCTGCGATAGGACAGGACACAACAATAACTCAAAACACAAAGGATGGCAGGTAGTGGCACTGGTACTTTAGGCAGCATTACATTAATGCATATCTCATGGGATGAATTTACCAATATTAATGTAATTTCAAATTTATACCGCAGTGTCATTTAACTTCTCAGGACCAGGCAAATATCAAGCACTGTTCCAAGCACTAAATAAAGCACAGCTTCAGGCTCTAAATACATGACATCTGTTTGGAAACACTTACAAGAAAAAAAAAAGATTTATTTTCTAAAAACTAGATGCAAGCACTATTTCTAGGGAAGGCACTACCTTCCTGCTAAAGCATGAGGCTAAGATCCAAAATATGCACAGCCACTAAATGCTATGATCATCTAGGACTTGATCTTGATAATTGCATCCTTGCATAAAAAAATTTGTATTGCAGTTTCAGCTTGATATAACATGCTTTTATTTTATTTCCTAAGCAATGACGTGAAGATTTCCACACTTTTCCGCTATACACCTCCTGCCACTCATTGCTTATGGGTTATGGCTAATAAGAGTTGACTTGTCACCAAGGAAAGAACTGGGGTATCTTCATACTGGATAAGAGAGAACCCCATAGGAAAAGCATGCGCATTACCTATATGCCAGGTGCAAAATAAAAAAAAGTTTAAGTAACTCCACTATTCGCCAAGAAGTATTATCGAGGGGCTATCATTACTACATCAAAAAAATCTGAGTATCATTTCCATGTGCCTTTATGTGAGACAAACATTGTATTTTACTCTATTAATTAGTTCTGTAATGCTGCTAAATACCTAGAAATTGTGTAATATTAGTATTGCACATGTCCTTCATAGGCCTGATGAATTTTGAAAGAGAAGTCCCAGGACCAAATCCTAACCAAATGGCTACAAAAGGCTCTCATCCACTTCTCCTCCATGATGGAAAAAATTCAGACTGGATTTGTGAAAGTTAGGAAAAGTTTATGGTCACTGGGGTCAGAGCAAAATGCCAACCAACCAACCTCTGTCTGTGGAAAGGATCTAGTTATTGTGGGAACTACTGGACTCAGCTAGTTGCATTTGTGCTCAGAGAGAAACTGTATTATCACTCCATTTATATAGTGTACTTCCTCAGACATTTCTAGGACAACTTACTTCTAGAAATGCTCCCTCACTATGGAGTGTGCACTACAAGGTGGAATATAAATGCATAGCTTATGTAAATAGAAACTGTAATTACACATTCTAAAAAAAGGCCGGTCATCTCACTATCATTGCCTCACTGAAACAAATGAATCATTATTGCATAATTTCCTCTGAAGATAACAGGAAGTCTTGATCCTTAATTCAACACTGAATTTGGTTCAATGGCTTGTTTCATTTTCTTATAAAACACTATCAACATCTAGTGGTGTATTTAGCTACTATGTAAACTGTGTGTTATGAAGATGAAAGCATTTTATTTACTTAGCATTAAACATTTAGAATAAGACATAGATTTATCATGTTGCAGTTATGCCAGACTATGTGGAGGTGGGGGTGGAAAATGAAGTAACATGGAATAAACTTGAGAGAACTGTTGAGGATTTTGAGAACAAACAACATGCTGACATTTTACATGATGGAAACTTGAATAATTTTCTGCCCAAAAGTGAAGACAGACTAAATAAAAAACTACAGCTTGAGGATGCTTCATATCCTCATTCATACTATCCATGAATTATGAAGGGACATGAGCAAATATTTTGAAAGAAAACCTCACAGGTTTTTCAAACAAAAATATTTTTCACACTGTGTTTCTTATAATTTGGAGGAAAAAAAATAAATTTCCCATTTACAAAACTCCACTATTTGTTGTGAACATACAACCAGAATCTACATAAATAAGTTGTTGACTTACGTGGTAACTTTTCAGTCTAACAAAATCAACTTTCATGGAGATGAACCTTTCTGAATTTCTGCTGAGATTTTTGATGTGCTCCACAAGGTCAGCACAGAACTTGTAGCCACCTTTGAGGACACAGAGAACCACAATATCATTGTCTCCAATGTCTTGCATAATATCTTTGGCCAATCGCTCTGTCCTGGGGCAAAAAAAATTAAGGATAAAATAACATTAGATACAGATTCTGTAAGTTCATGGTATGCTTTCCATGGGGTTACAAAGAAACACTATGGTGAGTATATAGCTTGACTGACAGTCTGTTTAAGTGTCTTGACTTGACTGGGTTTGGATCAAGTTCATAGTAGGCCAATATAGAGTGATGGATACAAGATGCAAAGCACGTGAATCGAACTTGTTAACCTTAAATGCATAAATTCCCCAGTTATAGAAAAGAAGGTAGCACATCTCAGCATATGTTGAATTCATAAGCATTTCAGAGACTTTGGAGTAAAGAATGCAACTTAGCCTTCAGTTTTACCTCACAGGAAACATCAATATAAAATATTCCTGTAAAATCCCCTAACTTTTTATGTTAGTACTACACAAGAACAATAAATTAAGTGAAATATAGGGAAGACAATTATTAGAAATATTTCACACTGATAGGCTTTGGAAGATGCTACCCCTACAATTTTAATAAAAATATACACAAATACTATAAAGAAATATAGCATTAATCAAAATTTTATAAACAGTGTACATAATCACTATTTCATACAGCAAAAAAAGAAGAGTGCAAAGAGCTGAAGTGACTTGTTCAAGGTCACACCATGAGAATAATCAAGGTTATGCTGTAGTTAACCTGGAATTGCAGGGTTCCTTTTCTCTTCTCTCCGACAATTCTGCATTGCAAACACAACGTGGCAGATGATTGAAACCAAAAGATACACATTTCTGCCATATGATAGTATAAAAATTTTCAAGATAAAAATAATAAACATGAATGCTTTTCTTCAGTAGCTTTGCTTTCTAAAGAACAAGGTAGATGGCATTTCTAGACCTAAAACAGGGTACCAGGTCATTTCTAGATATAAAGTAAGTATCAACAGAAAACTGAACAATATCGTTTCATGTTTTGAGGAAAAACAGCTCAGTGCATTATTTTCTGTAAACACTTTCACGGGCAAGTTCTTTGATAGCTCTCTGAATTATATCAGTAGTTTCAATGACAGTGGACTTCTTGACAGGATGCAATTTATTAAATAATCCTATAATTTATCCCATGTCTTTCATGATTACATTTTTTGTATTTTTTTTCTCTACCCACTGTGGGAGGAATGGGAATGCATTTGCCACTAAAAAAATACATTGAACTTTAGTGAAATCTACATATGTGCATGTACCAAAGAATAAGCTCTAAATTGAAGATAATATACTAGTTATGAGCAAAAGCTGTCACTTCATTTTCACATCTTGGTATTTGCAATGCTCAAGTAAATTCCATATAGCAACAATTAGTATTTTTTAGATTCAAAAAAATAGAAGATATCATTATATCATCTTGCTTGACCTCAAATATACAAATCCTTTTCCTGATATAAGAATGAAGATTAGTAAAAGACTTTCAATTACTTCACTGAAGATTAGTAAAACAGTCTTTATCATCTTTTGTCAAGTCTGAGCATAATGGTGAAAGCCTCTCATTAAGAGGAAACATTTCTCTGGTGATTTTCATTTTTCTTATATTCTTCCTCAGATTGTTTGAGGAGCTGAAATTTCCAAAAATTCCAAAGACCACTTTGTATTTTAAAAGAGCATGAACTTCAGCATAGACAAATGTACTAATTTCAATTTCTAAATAAAAACAAACCAGTTTTTTAACCTATATTTAATTGCTACCAACTGACAAGATAATTTTTTTAAGTGCTGAGCCTTCTTCCTACATGAAAATTTTGCGTGATCACAATATATTCAGTTCTGCGTCCTTTTCCATTAGAACAGAATCAGTCTTTTCTGCTGGAGTAAGAAAAACCAGTGGAGTTCATTCTGCTGGACTATAAAAACAAAACTGTAGTTCAATGCTTACTTCAAACAAATTTATATTGAATTCTATGAGAACTGAAGTTGTAACATATTTATTTAAAAAAGAGGAATTAAAAGTCAGTTGACTCTAACCAAAAGAGATGAAAAATTAAACACAATGGTAACTGAAAAGGCAAGGAAAGAAAGCTTGTATTTAAAAACAAATACAAGAGTCATAACTCTTCCTTATGATGGCTGTTTACAATCTTCTTTCAAGGAGTTCCAACAATTTCAGTACTTGCAACTGGCTGTTTAAATGTGGTAGGTAGAGAGCTGCAGGCTGAAAATGTCCCATGAAATTCCCAATAAATACACTGTTGAAAATTACCGTTTCCATTTTGTAACTTTTTCGTAAGATTTTTAACAGCATGTCAAAATAATAACTGACCATGAACACTGAGCTGGACTACCACAAATACCAAAGCACCATCAAATGCCTACACTGAGAGCACACAGGAACTACTACAAGGTAAGGAATGAGTGATGATCAAGCTTTCCCACTGCCACCCTCCAAACCTAGCATCTGGACCCGAACAGTCCATGACACACTTTTTGGTTGTGCTGAATGACAGAAGTCAATGGTGCAGTCAGGAGCCATTAGGTTAATCGGCATTTGTACTGGGGAGCTGCCAAAGTTGTACATAACTGAACGTAGTTTTTTCTTCTTTGTATTGGGTTTGTGTGGCAAGGTTTTGGTAGCGGGGGGTGCTACAGAGGTGGCTTCTGTGAGAGGCTGGAAGGAGCTTTCCCTACGTCCGACAGAGCCAATGCCAGCTGGCTCCAAGATGGACCTGCCGCTGGCCAAAGCCGAGCCCATCAGCAATGGTGGTAGCACCTCTAGGGTAACACATTTAAGAAGGCAAAAAACCCCTGCACAATAGAAACTGCAGCTAGGAGGAAGGAATGACAACATGTGCGAGAACCAACCCTGCAGACACCAAGGTCAGTGAAGAAGGAGGGGGAGGAGATGCTCCAGGCACCAGAGCAGAGATTCCCCTGCAGCCCATGATGAAGACCATGGTGAGGCAGGCTGTCCCCCTGCAGCCTGTGGAGGTCCACAGTGGAGCAGATATCCACCTGCAGCCCGGAGAGGACCCCATGCTGGAGTAGGTGGGTGCCCAAAGGAGGCTGTAACCCCGTGGGAAGCCCACGCTGGAGCAGGCTCCAGGCAAGACCTGCGGACCCATGGAGAGAGGAGTCCATGCTGGAGCAGGTTTTCTGGCAGGACTTGTGACCCCATGGGGGACCCACACTGGAGCAGTCTGTGCCTGAGGGACTGCACCCCATGGAAGGGACCCATGCTGGAGCAGTCTGTGAAGAACTGCAGCCCATGGGAGGGACCCACATTGGAGAAGTTCGTGGAGGACTGTCTCCCATGGGAGAGACCCCATGCTGGAGCAGGGGAAGAGTGTGAGGAGTTCTCCCCCTGAGGAGGAAGGAGCAGCAGAGACAACATGTGATGAACTGACCGTAACCATCATTCCTGCGCTGCTGGGAGGGGGTAGGTAGAGAATTCAGGAGTGAAGCTGTGCCCGGGAAGAAGTGAGGTGTGGGGGGCAGGTGTTTTAAGATTTGGTTTTATTTCTCATTACCCTACTCTGATTTGATTGATAATAAATTAAATTAGTTTTGCCCAAGTCAGGTCTGTTTTGCCAGTGACGGTAATTGGTGAATGATCTCTCCCTGTCCTTATCTCGACTCATGAGCCTTTCATTATATTTTCTCTCCCCTGTCCATTTGAGGAGGGGGAGTGATAGAGCGGCTTTGGTGGGCACCTGGCCCCCAGCCAGGGTCAACCCACCACATCCTTTTTATATTAAAAACACAGGATGGTTAGAGTGCAAGTGGGACATTCAAGTATAACTATATAGAAAGTTTTGTACTTGCCCTTTCACCTGCAGTTCAGCTCTCTTGTAATTTACATTCCAATGCCAATTTCACTATGCGATCACACTCTCCTTTTTGTGGGACCTCTGTTTAATTCAATGCCCAAATCAGAAATTACGTGAAAGAAATTAGACAGTGAGTTGCAAAGGCAACTACAAGTCTAGCATTTCCTAACCTTCAAGCATTTATTTACTTTCCAAATTAAATAAATAAAAGTATTTTTATAATTGCTAATATAATATTTTAGGACAAATGTTATACACACTGCCTGTGGATGACAGGCTTTATAAAAAAGAATAATACCACTGACCAAAGAATTTATTTAGTAACATTCAAACTACACATACCTGTCAACAATAATGCCGTGAGGTATGAGCACATATTCCAGATCTCCATAGTAGTGCTGAGGATAAGTGAACAAATCCAGACTGTATCCAGGCCAATTGTCTGAAATCTGCATATCAAATAGTACTGTTAAGAATACTTCATGGTGTTTGACAATATGTAACTGATACAAAATCAGTGTTCTAGTACACTCTATTGGCTGAATTAATCATATGACATACTCTCTTCCAGTTATAATTTACTATTTCACTTTTCCTATTAATTATTTTGCTTCTCAGTATATTTCAGAAATCAAATGCTACAGTTTTTTCCCCAGAGAACATGGGAAATTTCACCTGAAATTACAAACAACTAGACTGAAATAGGAAATATTTAATAATAAATTAGTGGCAAGTGTAAGTTTCTTACTACTTTCAAACTCGAAATGCAAATGTAAGATTTCCAGTAAGAAGGGATTCTCCAATGGGATATTCAGACAGTGAGATTAAAAGTCTTAAGGTATTTTAAAGTCGCACATAAATAAATAAATATTCTACAGATGAAACAGCACATAAGGAGAATAAATTATGTGGTTCATGGATGGTATCTGTACAAATCAGTGGAAGACTGTACTTCTTGCCAAAGGTGAGGTTCTTAATTTAGATAAGTCATCAAAGATAAGTGATTACAAAATGTTTGCATGTCACCTCACTATCAGCTAGTCTGTAAATTCAGACATTTACAGACAAAATATTTTACAGATTTAATATATGTTAGTTTCATAAGTATCAGGATACAACAATTAGCAGATCCCACAGCATACTATGGCAGTAGAGATTAAGTAGGGCAAAAATCAGCCAACAGGCAAAGCCTTCAGGAAGCTCTGAAGATGCAAAGTCATCAGCATAAGAACTAAAGAAACTCCAAGCCAACAATTTTCACAATTCCTTACGAAAGACAAGACCCACAGGTTCACACGGTATCTTGGAATCATTACGAAGCTTTGCTTCAGTACTGGTTCAGGATAAAAAGTGAAACCTAACAGGTTTGCTTTAGAACCATGTTCCTCAAGTCTCATACTGTCTTTCTTCTTTCTACAGCTTGGCCACATGAACCTTGAGTAGAAGGATAAATGGTGAGAAACCTGCCTTTGTCAAGTGCATGTCTTAATGGCATTTCTGCTAAATCTAGCTGTTAAAGGACCGTCACTGAAACTAACCTCTGCTTATGATTTCATGTAATAGAGCAATAAACCATGTCTTAAAAATATCTAGGCTAACACAACATATTTGACGTTGAGCTGCTCCTCCACATCTAGTCTTCTTGAACTTAGGTGTAGCCCTGCCTCATGCTGTACTGAAACAATGTTCTGCCTCATGGATTTTTGTTTGGTTGGGAGTTTTTTGCATATTCATTGACAGCTACATACACCTCAACTGTCATGTTTTCTTAAATCTGCCCAACAGTTTCTGTATCAAAAAAAGTTATATGTTGGTAACCACTACCAAACATTTGCCCATAAAGAGCATGACTCGGAGATCACTGGAATCAATGAAAGCTTTTTCCCCTGACTTACACAAGCCTTGAAACTACACATAAGAAAAAAGTTACTTAGTTATGTTTCTCATTTCTATAGAAACAGGAGATTATAAATATCCTGCTTGGCAAAGTTTTTAATTAGAGGCAAATCTTGATCCAGAAACACTGATGCAGAAGGCCTGGGAAGCCTATTTTGCCATCTTCACTTTCAGTACATAAGGGTAGCTGACACTTTTTAAACATTTTGTAGCAATGAACTGTCTGGAATGGTTTTGTTCAAAAGCTTTTTAACATAAAATGAAACCATTTCAGATAGTGCTTTAAATTGCGTAAGTACTATAAACACCCACTAAGAACCCTTGTCAGTATTGCTTACTTATGCATTCTCATCAAATTGCATGTTTTTAGTGTGATGCAGAAGATCACACTAAATGGATGGCAACTGCTTCAGAATTCATACAAACCAATAGCTTTTACTTAGGTTACAATAAGTCCTTTATGAAACAGGATCAGGATGGAATTTTGATTCTCCTATCTATGCTTCTGGTTCTCTTGATTAGAACATAAACTGCATCACTTTGCAATAATATAGAAGTTCTCATTTATAAATGCTTACTGGCATTTGACAAGTAAGATTAAATTCATATGTACTTTCTAATTAATTATTTTTCTAATATAATAAGCCTATTCCATATTCTTCTTTCTTTTAAACAGGCACTTCCCAACAATAAGGCTTAGAAATTCTCATTTACCCTGAAGTTATTCACAGCATTATGCTATGGACATTTTCAAGTAACCATAAATTATGAGCATTCAGCCTGTCGATTTAAAAAAAAAAAAAAGAAAGAATGAAAAAGTGCAATTATCCTCAGTTTCACAGCTAAGCATCAAAAAATATCCTCCCCAAATTAAACTCAACTTCTTTTTACTTCTGGCTGTAGCCCTTGAAAATATGAAGGAAACATTTGTGATTGTTTAATAAAAAGACAGTATTCAACTGGATAAATAAGTATATATACTAAATATATTGGTACACAAGCGTGTAAAAAAAGTCCTACAGTGAAAGAAAGAGCTATTTTTAAAGTTCAGGCTTGCCATGTTCAAGCAGCCCAGCAGAAATTCTTCAGCAGGTCTTTAAAAAGTTGATGTGAATATATACAAAAAGGAATACAAATACATGGCAATACCGGAAAGCATTCCCTTGAGGCATAAGGGAAGCTGGAGACATTCAATTGCAACACCTTTGGAAGAACATTGCTAGTTTTGTTGTCTGGTAAAGTGGGTACATGTGAGGTTTGAGCACAGTACTTGCTTCAAAGCAACAATGATCTGGATTCTGCTTTGGTATAAAATAAGGGAGCAAGCACCAAGCAAAATCCAGCTTTTGTAAACTTAAATCAAAGTGCACCGGCCTTACTTTTGGTTGGTTTTGGGGGGCGTTAGGGAGCGCATGTGTGCAGCAAGCAGAAGAAATTAAATCAAGCAGAACATAGTTATGAGCATTCATTTCCTCCTCTGCAATATCTTCGCTTTGGCACTAAACATAGTCACCCACTTTAAAAATGTCATTCATGACACAGGTGTCAGGAGAGGTGGTTGGTGCGCGGTGGTTTCAGACAGGGCTTGAACACACAGCGACGGGTTTCTTTGCAAGGGGGACGGAGGGAACGCTGGCGTGGACAGGGTGTAACCGCTGCCTACGCAGAGCGCTCAGCTCTGGGCCACGGTCTGGGCGGCTGCTCTGCAACTCGGTTAAAATCCCAGCGCCACAATGAAATAAGAGCGTACCTAACGCGGTGGCAGTGATGGTATTTGCTTCACAGGAAGATCTGGTTTGTCCCTCAGAAGAAGGAGCATATCCGTTCATTTTTGCATCATTTATTCAGCCCCACAGGTACTCAAAACGCACTGCCAAAGTTCGGGCTTTTTCCCACCGCGGAAGACTAAGGGGCTGCCTAACGGCGTGCTTTCACGGCCCTCTCAGATCCTCAAAGGCCTCTAAGCGGTTCGGGGAGAGCCAGACACGCCGGGATCCCTGGGGATCCTGATCTCAACGCACAGCCGCAGCCGCCGCTCCGGGTAATTCAGGACCGTACTTTCACGGCGGGAGCCAACAGCCCGGTGAAGCCTGGGGAGCCGGCCGGCCCTGCCCGCCGCTAGCCCGGGGAGCCCCACACGCACCTTCCCACCGCAGCCCGCGGGCAGGGCCAGGCACCCACCCCCTCCGGCAGCCCCAGCAGGGCTGAGGCGTGAGGGGACGCAAGCGCGGGGACGGGAGCAGGGTGAGGGGACGCGGCCCAAGGGCCGGCCGGGCGAGCCCGGAGCGAGCGGGGACCCTCGCAGGGCGGCTCCGCGGGCGGGAAGGACGTGAGGGGTCAGGCGGGGGGGCTGGCGGCGGCCTCG